CAACCCTGACCTGCCCCACATGGACCCCCCCCCCTAGTAACCAAATGTGAGGAGGCATTTCAAAGCTGACTCAACGGCTGAGGCTAGTGGCGGGGTTCATGCCTGTCTCTCCTAGGATTCGAACTTGAACCTGTTGTGTGGTTGAGCAAAATCGCTCATCCCTTTTTCCAACCGAGTGGCATGCCCGAGGGCAAAAGAAAACTAATTTAGGGAGCCTGAATTCTCTCTAACTCGGGTTATTCAGCTAAACGACCTCTTGACAAGTGATTTTTAAGTTCATGTCATTCTGACAGGTTTCTAAGCATTCTTGAATCTTGTATATAGAAGTGACATTTTTCTGTTTAGGTCATGGACTTAAAAAAAACTCTGTGAGAAAGTCATTTAACGGAAGAACCCAGTTTAAATCACACTTTTGAACGATCTTTCTACAGACCAATTGTGTATTACGCACGCTACACTTCCAAAGAATTGTGCGTATTATATGATTAAAAGATGATGTTATAAAGACATGCGAATTTGTTGTTTTCGTGTTTCAGGTTATGGATGTCTTCAATAAGATATCAGAACTGTTTCCGGGGGTGACAGGTTCGCCCTAATCGTTGATTTCTTCATTAATTAGTGTGGTTTTCGTCTTTTTGGAAAGTGAGCGAGCTTAGAGCTGCAGAGCAAACCATCTGTCGCGATCCGTTAGCATAGTTGATCACATGAGTTTGGCTGTAACTGTTAGGACATCACGATTCAGCTATTATCTCAGTCGGGTTTGCCATATTTGGCGTATTAATGTAAAAGTGAACATACATCTTCGTGTTTAAACGTTGAAGATACAAGTTTTCTCGTTGAAAAAGAATTCTATATTTGTCAATTGTGCTCGTACAATCTTTGGCGCTGTAAGGGATGGACGTCGTTTTTTCGTTTCTTTTTGCAGTGAAAACGATCGACTTAAACCAACGACGGTCTGGTCTTGAACCATAACCTTAGTGGTTGGTTCAAGCCCCGTCTCATGGAATAAAAATACGTTGTTCTCAGATTTCATGTCCCTTTCTTGTCCCACCAATCATGTAAAGACATCATTATTCTGTTACAGGAGATTTTTTTGATTAACCTGGATATCCAACCCGCTATGCAAGTCGACTAATCCCAGGGTGACCACCTATTTTGCAAATTGCCCGGAATCACCGTATTTGAACTTTCATGGCCATAAGGGGATTTTTATTCATTCTTAGATTTGAACGTAGGACCTACTGATACTTTTGACCATTAAAAAACGATGATTTTCTCATGTGGCGTAGAACGACGGAGTTTTGATATCAACGACTTAAACTTAAGTCGAGGTCAATGAGACATGTTAGTTATCATCAAATTTGATACATTCTTCTTACGTGTAAATTGAGATGTTTGACTTAACTGTTGACAAACATTTGGTTGTAGTTTGTTTTTTTGAAAAAAAATCCTTTTATTTTCCATTTAAATCTTACTGGATAAACCATAAGGGTGGTGTTTGATTGGTTTGAGCTTGAGCTTGAGCTCCAAAGATCAAGAGTACATAAAGGTCTCATGTTCAAATCCAAGGAGGAATAAAAATCCCCTTGTGGCCACGAAGGTTCAAATGCGGTGACTTCGGGCTATCCGTAAAGCAGGTGGTCGTCTTGAGATTAGTCGGCTCGCATAAAATGGTTGAATATCCAATTTGATCAAAAAAAATCTTACTGGATAAGTGGTTAGATTGATAAGACTTTTTTTCTATGATAAGTGCTTAAAACCTTTTACGGTCTTTTTATTGGATGAGGTTTAAGTCATGGGCTGTTTGGCAGTTGTTGAATGGTTTTACGTAAAATGATTAAGTGGCCAAATTATTAAGAGGCTCTCATGATATATTGCAAAATGAAATATAATTGTTCAGTAATTATTTACAACGTCATTCAGTGACATATTTTTTTTGCTAAACAAGATACACATATTAAAGATTCAGAGATTGCTTCTTAATGAAACTATTAGAAGGTAAACAAACAACCAGTAATTTATTATTAGCTTTTTTAATGTATTTTTATTTTTCTAAAACCACTTTATAGACCTGTTATACATTTTGCAATGCATAAAAACATTATTATAAGAGTTGAGTTTTTGAATAAACAATTGATTTTATTGAATTATTTTATTATGCTAATTAATTTATTAATAAATAAATAAATTGATTAAAAGTATTTAATACAAATAAAAAATCTAAATTATAAATTATTATAATTACTATATTAGCCAAACATACCCTTAATGTTACATTGATTTTGTATAATTATTTTATATTTATATTTTAATACATTAATTAGTATTTTATATTAAGTTTATAACTTAGTTATTTTATGTCTTTAAATTGTAAACTATATTTACTTGTAACACATTAATTAAAGAATATTTTTTTTAAATAATATTTGTTTAAAAACATTATTGTAAAATTCAAAATTGTAATTATCAATTGATTATAAAAATTAATTAAATATTATTATTATTCGTGTTCTTACTTTGTTTTTTACTGGTTGGATCATAGATATTCTTAAATCGAAGGAGACTTCTATACTTACACTCTACTATTTATGTTATCGAGTTCTCTTTTTAGTGTGTGGTCCGAAGGATTTTGTGTTTTAGTGAGTTTATTGTTTCTCGTAAAAGTGTCGATTATAGATGGTGGGCATGTTTGTTAGCAGCTTAATAAGACTTGCAACTTATTCGGTCAACTATACATAATTGTTTAATAGTGGCTTAACAATATAGAAAGTGACTTATTCAATAAGCTTTTAAGTTAAAGCTTTATGTCAAAAAGACAAGTCTTTTTTTTTTTCCAAGCTTGCCCCTCTAGTTAGAAACACGTTCCTTCATCCATGAAAAACGCTCCCAACAAAACCTTTTTTTCAATTTATACAACAGATTAGTACGTACATACAACTTTATCTATACATGACTTAGTAGGTGTCTGCTTTTAACTTAATCAGTTTAATGGGTGTTTTGGCTTATTTGCACAACCATATATAGGTGTTTACTTGTAGCTTAATGATATGGGCTTCTTCAGTAAGCGTAAAAGGGGTGTGTTGTCCCGTTAAGCCAAAAATTTAACATTTCTACTCCTCTAAAAAAACACTCTCAATTCTCAGCGCCTCCTTTCTTTTCAGGTTGTTAAAAGAACACATACATGCTCCCTTTTAAGCCTTAGCCACACATCGCTTCCCAAACTCCTCCCTCGTTGCATCTCTTCTCCAGGGATTGCGTTTTTTTCATTAACCTGGATACCCAACCCACTATGCGAGCCGATTAATCCCAGGACGACCACCTGCTTTGCAGATAGCCCAGAGTCACCGCATTTGAACCTCCGTAGCCACAAGAAGATTTTTGTTCCTCCTTGGATTTGAACCTAGGACCTCCAGGTACTTTTGACCTTTGGAGCTAAGCTCAAACCAATCAGGCAGCACCCTTGTGGTTGGGATTGCGTTTTTTCTTCTATGGTCAACATCTTCGTTACTTTTCCTCTCCAACCGAAAACCGCATTACTTTCTTCTCCGGTCGACGACCTTCTTCCCTTCGGTTTTCATCATCACATATAACGGTTTCTCCCCTTTTTCTTGATACGGCGAATATGATTTCTTGTTCTTTTGATGTGGTGAATCTAATTTCTTTCTTCAGTAGCTTTTCTTATTTGCTATCTGATGTACTGTTTAATGGTTTATTTTTTATGGTCAACAATAACACCTGACGCCAGTTTTTATTTTCTTTTCAAAAATATCATTTCTCTTAACAAATAAACAACAATTTATCAAACAACACATAATCCATACCGAGTCGTAAATCAGTCATTTATATCATTCAAACTGCGTTGTTTCAGATAAAAACTAAACAAAACCACCAATTTACACAGACAGACAGACAGACAGACAGACAGACAGACAAATTAAACAGCTTTCTTAAACATCGAAAATTCGAATCAAAATCATATCATAGTTTCCATTTTCTTGTTCTAATGAATTGACCAAATCAAAGTCAAGAACATATCAACCTTTTTTCTTTGGAAATTAGAAATGGTCGTGGGTCAATCAAACCAATTCACACGCCATTCTTTTTCTTTCTAATTTTGGACTTTTGTCACCCTTTCGTTATTTTCTCTTTACAATATCTCTTTATTTTCTAATTTTTATACCAAAAACACGAATATATAAAATACCCGCATCAACTTCACCTAACTATTTGAATTTTGCGTGGTCGAACGTTGACTTGCTCGTACCTATAGACTCTCTGCTCGTGTGTCGATTTCGTAACCTACTTTGCGTAGATGCTTCCCGAGACCTTGTGAAAGCGACGTCAGAAATCAACTACAGTTCCATAATTTACGTTTTTTTCATACAAAATTATTTAACATTTTGTTTTGTGTTTTAACTTTTTGGAAAAAGAGGATAACGTTAAAGAAAAAGAGGTGACGGGATTAATGCGAGTTAATAACAGTATAAAATTTCGAAAAAAGAAACGAGAGGTTCTTTTTGTTTGTTACCATGTCAACTTGGTACTTTATAGTGTCGATCTTGACGTCCTAACTCCAAATACCGACTGATACGTAGTTGAGATCAAGTTGTTGTGGTCACGTAACGTTGATATTATAATCATATATTTATCTCAAAGATCAATAAAATCAACTTCTGTTCTTTGCTTAAAAGATCCTAATTTTAGGTCCGTAAAACAAGCTTAGATTGTTGTATTTCAAGCTCAACTTAACTCGGTTACCTAGTATGTGGTTATTTGTTTACCTCTTAATAGTTTCATTAAGAGGCAATCTCTGACTCGTTAAGAGGTGAATCTTGTTTGGAAAAAAAAGAAGTCTGTCTCTTAATGATTCTAAAACTCTCTGAATGATTTTGTATCCTGGAACTTCTTTAACCATTAAGAGCCCTAATTTCATTGTACACAATTACCAGACAATTATATTTCATTTTGCACTATATTATAAGAGTCTCTTAATCATTCTGACCATTTAATCATTCTGCATCAAACCATTCAGCAATTGTCAAACAACCCCTCAGTTGATCCATTATAACAATATAACTCGGCGACTTGACATCCACGTCATCAATAATTACATAATCTATTTATTACGGAAAGGGGTAGTGAATAGAAAAAAGATTTAAATTTTATTACAATAATTGGTAATCTTTTTATCATTTATAATCAAATATTTTTATTAAGTTATGTGTATAAAATATCAATGGAATGTTCAAATAATAATGTTAAATATTGTGAGAAAGTAAAAAAAGAAAGTTTCATATGTGAATCATTGAAAAAATACATTTGAAGATGCATATGTGAATCTGCATGAAGCATCTGTAATGGCAGTTCACATATGCATATTCAAATAGATTCTAGATTCTTTTTCTGAATTTTTTCAATGATTAACTAAGGGGTTGTTTGATTGATTTTTCATCAAGTCTTGTATGGATAAAGTTATCGATTATGGTAGAGGTGAGGTGGCACATGGTGATGGCAATGAACGTTGTTGGTTGGTGACCGACAATGGTTGTGGAGGTGGTGGAGGAGGTTGTTATAGTAGAAGAGGAGGTGGAGATGGCCAATGGTGGTAGTGGCGATGGACGGTGGTGGTCGGTGGCCCATCGTGGTTGTGGAGGTGTTGATAGACGATAGTGGTCGATGGTCAATGGCGGTTGTGGAGATGGTGGAGGTTGCCTATGGTGGCTACCAGTGGTGGCAGCGGCCGTAACTAGCGGTGATGACCATGAAAACAACATGTTAAAGTATATATCAAACGAGGGTTAATTAGTAATATCTTAGTTTCTATCTCATTCTTATCCTATAAATAGGTGGAACAAGAAAAAGTCTTTTTATCCCAGTTCTCTATCTCATGTCGTACCAACCAAGACATTGAGCTCTTGTCTTGTCCCATGTATAAAATACTTTATTGGAATAATTATGAAACTGAGACCAAAACACCGTTTTTTGGTGCTGAAACGGTCATTTACTCGTTCCCTTTCCGTAATACTGAACAAACCGCGTTTGCGCGCACACACACACCTCCACACATACACACACCACCATGAAACCATCACTTCCATGGCGGATTCCCTCTCCTTCTTCTCTCTCCTCTCTCTAACCCTCTTCCTTCTTCTCATTCTCCCTTCCCTTTCTTCCTCACTTTCAACTGTATCAATCTCCCACATCAATTCCAACCAAACCCTCATCTGTGCCCTCACTAAATCCCCTACTCACCAACGAACCCAATTCAATTGCAGCACTACTTCCTCCCCCGCCCTCATTCAACTTCCTTCCAACGTCGGAACCAGCCATTCCTTCGTCGGGATCGTGGGTGGAACTCGATTCGTCTGCGCGTTAAGCTCGCCGTTCTTGAGTTCATCAGCAACTCTCACTTCGTTTCTAGTTTGCTGGAGGTTTCTTCTCGATGGACGTACGGTGTATAAGAGGGTTTACCTTGGTCCATCTCTCAAAGACATTGATTCCGGTGAGACACATGTTTGTGGGATCGTTAGTTCAACCAATCAGCTCTTGTGTTGGCAATGGAATCAGTTCAATGATTTCATCCCCAATCGGATTCAACTTCGATCCAGCGTTGCTGTTGGAGAGAATTATGTTTGTGGGTTGACTGAATTTGGAGAAATTAGGTGTTTAGGAGATTATACGAATCGTTTCAACACCATCAAAAGCTTTCCGGTAGGGAATTACAGTGTGGTTTCGGCGGGATATAATCGCGTTTGTGGCATTGATTCCGGTGGGGGTTTAGATTGTACGGATGAGACGATGGAGAAGCCAAATGGTGTGTTTAAGTCTGTGTCCATCGGAGATAATCGATTTTGTGCGATCAGGGTCGATGGAAGAGTGATTTGTTGGGGAGAAAATGACTTCCGGTTGCCGGAAAATCTGCAGCAGTTTTCTTTCGCCGGATTGCAGGCGAATCGTGGTGTTTTCTGTGGGATTTTGACGACCAATTATTCCCTCTACTGTTGGGGAAATGAATCTTTGAATTCAATCTCGAATTCGATTGTTTTCGAAGACGTGGTGCCTGGTTTGTGTACAAGTTCTTGTGCGTGTCGTACGATTCCAAACTACATGACATTTTGCGGTTCGGATTTGATGATCTGTGAGCCGTGTGTTTACGGTCGAGCTCCGCCGGAATCACCACCGCCGCAGAATGGTGGTTGGAGCAACCAAATGGTTGCTTACATGGTGGTGGGATCAATCGGTTGCTTATCGTTCGTTCTCGTTTTTGTGTTTATGATCTTCCGATTTTGCAAGTCAAGCGAAGGAAGTCGGGTTCACAATTCCGGACCCATGGAAGACATCCAGATTGCTTCGCAAGTTCAAAACTCGAACCGCATTCTCGTTAAGAAATTGAGTCATTTGATTAGTATGGGAAACGGGAATCACTTGCAAGAGTTCGCTTTACAAACGATCATGGACGCAACCGATAATTTCTCCTCTGATCATCGAATCGGGGTGGGAAGTTTCGGTTCCGTATACCACGCCATATTAAACGACGGTCGAAAAGTAGCGGTTAAACGGGCCGAATTAACGAACCCCTCGCGGTGTGCCGGTGGCATAAATAAGCGCCAAGAAGACACGAACAACGCGTTTGTAAACGAGCTCGAGTTCCTATCGCGTGTTAATCACAAAAACCTCGTTCAATTGCTAGGGTTTTGCGAAGAAAACAACGAGCTCGTTTTAGTATACGAATACATGGAAAACGGTAGCCTTCACGACCATATACACAATTTATATAGCTCGTATATAATGTCGTGGTCTGCACGTATCAAAGTGGCACTAGACGCGGCTAGAGGACTCCAATACCTTCATGTCTACGCTGATCCACCAATCATACACCGTGACATCAAGAGCTCCAATATCTTGCTCGATGGCGAGTGGACGGGAAAGGTATCGGATTTCGGGCTATCGTTAATGGGCCCGTCAGACGACGAGTCGCACCTCTCGCTACATGCAGCAGGAACCGTAGGTTACATGGATCCCGAGTACTACAAGTTTGAGCAATTGACCACTAAGAGTGACGTTTATAGTTTTGGAGTGGTTCTACTGGAGTTGTTATCAGGGCATCGTGCAATTCACCAGAATGAAGCAGGAGAGCGAAGAAACGTGGTGGATTTGGTCGTTCCGTACATCGTGCACGACGAGATACATCGGGTCCTCGATCACAAAGTCCCTCCACCGACGCCATTTGAGATAGAAGCCGTGAAATACGTCGGGTACCTGGCTGTTGATTGCGTGACGTTGGAGGGTAAAGACCGGCCGACGATGAGTGAGCTCGTTACATGCTTGGAGAAGGCGTTGGCCGCTTGTTTTACGCTTCCGTCTTTCTCTTGTAGCGCGAGCGGCTCTTCCTCCTGACTAAGTTGAATGCCAGCTCAACCGATAAATAAATACCGGTCCCTCGGGTTCCTCTTCATAGGTCTCCGGTTCGAATCTCGTCAAGCTATTAGAGATTCTGTTAAATGTTATCTTCAAGTCCCTATAAAATCAGTATAGACTCAAGTAAGCTAGTCAGAAACCCACAGTTATCCACATAAATTTGTATAAATATTGTGAGTTAGAATTTTTTAAAGATAGAATTTGTTACGTTGTTGATAAACTTATTTTTAGATTCTTTTGTAATATTATTAAATATTAAATTTTATGAATTTATATTATTAATGAACTCTTTTTGATTATTTATGGGTTTCCATGTCATACTTGAGATTGTCCAATATTTATTTATATTAGAAGGATAATTACGTAATACACAGTTAAATATATTTTGATTTTAATTTTTTTTTTTTTTATGTCATTATAATGTGAATTTATGTGGTTTTGAACAAACAATAATGTTTTTTTTTAATATAAATCTGAAGATATCATGAAATTTTAAAAAATATATAAAAGTTATCAATTTTTTTCGTCTAGTTTTTTTAATTCAAATTTTTTATTATAATTTAATTTAAGTTTGATAACGAAGTAATTTGTTTTTGATTTAATAATATAATTTTTATAAAGATAATAAGTAAGTATTATGTTATAACTTAATAATTATCTTAATTATATTTTAGATATATTTAAAATAAAAATTTTATATATATTTGATTATATTTATTCACAGTTAGTTACACTAATCAAATATGAAGTTTAATAAGTTGTATTTATGCATAATTTACTTGTAATCTTCAATTTTAAGTAGTATGCATACTTTATGTATAAAAGATGGTTTTTAAGGGTGCGTTTGGTAGGCAGAACAGGGTGGAACAGGACATGACAGAACATATTTGTCTCATGTTTGGTGTGGCTTTATGTGGGACTAACTAGAACAAGGTAGGACACGGGTAGGACACGGTTGTCCACCCTTCCCCCCTGGAACTAACTAGAACAAGAAACATTTTACCCATCTACCTTCTCCTTCATCAATCGGCCCTTCTTCTTCATCAATCGGCGCCTTCTTCTTCATCAATCGGCCCTTATTCTTCATCGATCGCCGATTCATCAGTCGTCTCCTTCATCAATCGGCCTTCTTCTTCATCAATCGGCGCCTCTCCTTCATCACTCGACAGCGGCGCCTCTCCTTCATCACACGACATCACCCTTTCTCCTTTCTCCATACTCTCAGGTAATCGACCTTCTCGATTTTGCATAACTCGATTTAGAAGAACTCGACAGCATCTGATTCATGTTTGTTTGCTGGTTTTTGATTCATGTTTCTACTGGTTTAGAAGAATTCGACAGCACCTGATTATGTTTCTGATTTTGTTTGCTACTGTTTTTTATTCATGTTTGCTGTTTTTGATTCATGTTTGCTGTTTTTGATTGTTGTTTTTCAACACCATGACTCCCACCATTGGTTACTGATATCCAAATCATCTCATTTATCTCTATGTCCATGTATCATAGTACTCTGTTTTAGATTTAAGATGTAGAGAAGAGAAGAGAAGAGAAACAAAACCATGGTTTTAGTTATAGAAATGGTACCTGGAGGGTTAATGATATGTTGTAATCTGTTTGTAATTGCTTTAATTTCCCAGTAGTATTCTTACTACTACTGTTTTATGTAGAATAAATGCATATTGATGAATATAGTTAGAACATTTATATATATTATTTAGTGAAAAAACACTAAACAGCTCACTAGGGGTAAATTGGTCATTTTAACCAGTTCTGTCTTGTCCTGTCATGTCTTACCAAACGCTGAACAACTGTCCTGTCCTGTCTGCGTACCAAACGCACCCTAAGAGTTTTTATCAAATACTTTATAAATATAGTATCATATTTGAGATAAAAAGCAAACTATAATATAATATATTTATTTAAATAAAAAATTGATTAATTAGAAAATTGGAGGCGACATGGAACGTTCCAAATAACCAAATCATATAGAACACGTCATCGTGTATTTAATTGGACACTATTTTAACTCTATTTATTAGTATTAGAAGCTACTCGTGTTATGTATATACATTTTGATTTTAACGTTTTTTTTATCTATGTCGATATAATATGATTTTATGTGTTTTTTGAGAAAGCGATAATGTTTTTATATTTAGATAAAATATAAAATTGAAAATATCATATAAAATTTACAAAAAATATATCAATATCAGTATAAAATTAATTATTTAAAAGTTCTTATTTATGTATTTTTT